TGAGGTCGTCCACGTATGCCTCGATATCCCGCCCTATCTGTTGTGAGAACACTGAGTCATTCATTCTTTGATAAGTGGCGCCAGCATTCTTCAATCCGAATGGCATTCCGACGAAACAGAAGTTTCCGAAGGGCGTCATGAAAGCCGTCTTTTCTTCATCTTCGCGGGACATAGGGATTTGATGGTATCCCGAGAACATGTCTAGAAAAGATAGTGTCTCGTGGTCTGAAGTGGTGTCAATCAATTGGTCGATGCGCGGTAGCGGGTAAGGGTCCCCCGTGCACACCTTGTTGATCGTTGTATGGTCGACACACATCCGCCAGGCCCCGGAGGACTTTTTCACCAAGACCACGTTGGCCAACCACTTCGGATACTTTACTTCACGGATCAGCCCCGCGGCGAGTAGTCGCGCGACTTCTTCTTCTATGGCTTTCAGTTTGTCACCCGTGAAACTTCGTCGTGCTTGTTGCCTTGGTTCCGCGCTTGCGGAAACCGCAAGGCAATGTTGCGCTACTTGTCTTGGCACCCCTGGCATATCCTCGGTGCACCAAGCGAATAACTCCTTGTACTCTTTTAGGAGCGCGACCAGTGGTTCAATCGCGTCACTGTGAACGTGTGTCAAGATGCGAACCTTCTGTTCTGGTTTGGTGGGGTCGAGTGCGACTTCGAAATCAGAGTCCATGGACTCTGGACGTGGGTCCTCTGCCCTCGTGTCGACGATGTTGATTTGGCGGACCTCTCCCTCGCCTTTTGGCACTCCCCATGGCGTCCCGCAAACTTCTCCGGTCCCTGCCTTGGTAGGGAATTTGAGTTTCTGGTGGCATGTCGATGGGAGGGTCATGAATTTGGCGAGGAATGGTCGGCCAAAGATGCCGTTGTGGGGAGACTTGCAGTCGATAATGGTAAACTCGACTTGTTTGGAAACTCGCGGCTCTCGGTCTCCAATTACGACCGGAAGGGTGATCACGCCAATCACTGGAACTCTTGCTCCTGAGAATCCGACCAGGTTCCCCTGTGCGCGCTTGATCAGGCGCGGGTCGATGTCCATTTGGTCGAGAGTGCTCTTAAAGAGGATGTCTGCCGCGCTACCCCCGTCTATCAGTAGGCGGTGAATTTTGCAGGCAGCTACCAGTGCTGTGATGGCAAGTGGGTCTTCTGACGGGATCCCTTGCGGGAATTCCGTGTCGTCAAAGCTCAGGTTGCATTTTTTTGAACTTCGGCCGTCGCGCACTCCATCGCGTGCTCACGTTTGATCTTTTTCTTTGGGCGGTCTCCTTCCACTGTTACCACCCCTATTTCCTTCCGCACTACATACGAGCCGGTGTCTTCGTTATAGTCGGGTTGCGGAGGAGGTGGTGGATTTCTGGGCTCTTCCTTCTGCTCCTCCGCTCCGCGGATGAACTCGGTTAATAGTCCTCTTCTGATGAGGCATTCAATTTCATACCGCAGCTCTCTGCAATCCTCCGTCATATGGCCCGTCTCCCTGTGAAAGTCACAGCGCTTGCTTGGGTCGCGCATGTGTGGTAAGGACCTCACGGGCGCGGGCCAGTTGATCTTGTAGCCTTTCTCGCGGAACACGTGGAACACATTTTTCACCGAGTCGTTGAGCGGTGTGTAAGTGTTCTGTGGGCGACTGTCCGGTGAGCGTCTCCGCGGCGCCTGCTCTATTGGGGCGGGCGGGCGCCTCGCCCCGCTGTGCAATTGTACTAGCTGTTCTCGCGGCACCGGGAGTTGTTTCCTCCCTTGATCTTCTCTGGGCGGCTTCGAGGGCTCGAAGCACCTGACAGATCCAGCGCCCAAGGTTTCTTCCAGTGTGATGGCCTTCTCAATTTTCAGCCAGTTTCCCAGTTTTGGCACATCCATTTGATCAAGTTCAAAAATGGTCTTCTAGACTTCCTGTCGAGCTCCCAAGCACTTGAATGTGTAGAGGGACACTCCAGCTTCAAAACAAGTCATTAATCTTCAATTTCCATTAAGCCAATTCTAAGATATGAATATCCAAAGTAGGCACCATGAAACTGTTTTTACACTAAAACAACGATTATGTCGACCTAATCCTAATTGAGGTCGACCGAAAAGTACAAGTCACTGTAACATGCATGTCACCGTAGGCGCAACCTAAAACTATTACTCTTTAAAATATTTATTTTTCTGATACGCGAAGCTATGGCGGGCTTTTGCTAGTATTGTTTAATTATTAAGCAAATATTGCATATGATTGGAAGAAAAAGCTCGTAATTAACTCTGCCATTTGTCACCAATGATGACACCGCGCGCTAATTGAAAAATAAAAACTGCAAATGCCGAAAGATCAGTGTTTCTTCGTAGTGTCACCATCATTGAACAACCAATGCCGAAAGATCAGTGTTTTTTAATCGGCCGGATGGAAACCGAAAAAACACCACATCGTCATGGAACAAGCATTTGCTTTTGTTTTTTGTTTTTTTATTATTATTTGAAAGGTCATGTTATTAACAATGACCTTTTAGATAATAAAAAAACAAAAATGATTACACTCAATCTGCTTTACAATTAGTTTTCCAAGAGTGAATTACTGAGACAGTAACAAAGATTCGTAATATTTGTAGTTCCGGATGGGTTGTAGTGTCCGAAATATTTTAATTTAATTTACATAATAATATGGATAATTTGGTAATTAAATAGTTCGCAACTCAGAATTTAATCTTAAAAAGATTGGTGTAATTTCTTTAACCGTAGTCCTTCTCATTTTAACTTTGGCCTTTTCACTAACTTTATTTTTAATATCAATCCACCACGCGTATAAAAGATCATTTATTCAAAGCGTTAACAATTGTCATCCCGATAAAAAAAATACAGATATATCCAGCCGCTTTCAATGCAACAAAAAAGCTTTACCTTCAACATCTACCACAAATTACATATGAAGAACATGAGGTCCAACATGAAGTCTCCAAGTTCAAAATCAACGATGGAATCGCTAGACCCAATATAAATATATAATGCCTTCTTTTTCTTACATTCTCTTGTTATCAAATCTTACCTTTTGAAGCCTTTACTTACTTGTTTAAGCCAAAAGACACTGCCTGCGTATGCAGAGTTGGAAGGGATAAGATGAACACTGGGTGGACCAGAGAAAGGCCACCAGAGCAACTAAAAAGCGCAGACCAGCAAGTTGGCTGTGGTCAATGTCGTGCTCAAAGGCCACACACACATTTTTGTTTTTGTGGACAACTGACATACCTAACACATACCCTTATTGATTTGGACGACGGACAAGTTGATAAATAACTGAATTTATTTGGAAAAATAATCGGGCTGGGTTCTGAAATGTGGACAAGATGTTTGTGAAGAGAGGGAAGGGTCGAGGTAGCTAGGGAGAGGGAGTTATTAGAGAAGGCAAAGTGTAAGATGAGGAGAAAGAAGATAATCAATTCATTAACTTGAGTTCTTGATAGAGATTAAGGCATGAATGGTAATCAATTTTTTGAACGTTATTTCATATGAAGGCCAACTCATGAGGTTTGAAATTTGGACAAACCCGTCATACCATGTGCTTTAAGAGAATGACTAATATGGGAGGACTTGGATACTTGAACATGCGATCTTAAGGACAAACCAGTTATAATACCATGTTATAAATCGTCTGGTTCCAATAACTCGAGTTATTGGGTGAGATTCGTGTATGAATGTTAGCTACTTCACTACAGTATATGTTAGCTCTATAGTCATGTTTGTCGTGATGGGGTCTTATCGGGAGTTGAAGGCTTGACATGCTAATGAGTTTGAGACCAAATATCGTTAACAAACCTCACTAAAATACTGGGTAAAAAATGTTGAATTTGGCTATCGTGCTCACAGTACAAATATGTGAGAACCCGTTCACAAGAATGCAGAAGAATTTGGATAGCGTGTGGGGAGTTTCGCTGTCGTTGGATGGAAAAGATCGATGACAATTTTGTAAATAAATTATCATCGCTTCCATCCGACAGCTGCGGAACGTGAGACGCACAATCCGACGACTGAACCTCTTGTAATGAAGCGTCGTCTCTAACGCTCGGCGAACACCATAACCTAGTTGAAAAAAGGTTTGCTATACATACCATTGCACCTTTCAGCGCCATGATTGATCATGGGCTCCTCCTCCTGCGTGTATCCCCTGGCCTGGCCACGAAGTTGAAGCGCTGCTGTATCAAGTATGTAATCAGATCTAGTGGTAGCAGAAGAGACTCGTTACCATTACGCCGACCGACCCACCTAAAATGCGCTACCTAATCCAATCTATTCGATCCCTTCCTGTTGTAGTTTAGCTTACGAAAGAGAGAAAAGCTAACATTTGGAGACATTAAAGAATAGTTGTAAATGTTTTATAATATTATTTCTATAAATAAATTTTCTTTCTTTACTTGAGATTCAGTCCATCTAAATTCGAATTTTGGGGAAACCCATGTATAATATATAATAAAACCTATCTAGCATGGTCTTTGACCTTGACTTTTCCAACAAGTATTAGTTTTGAAAATACATAAGCCATTCTATATGATATAAAAATATGTGTTACAAGGTTTTGACGGTAAAAGATCCAACTTACCTACAAGTATGCTATGTTCTCGCATATACGATTCTCAAAAGTTGATTTAGGGATATCGTGCACATGATGATCACAATATCGACACCAGACGACTTCACCAGTCCACATGCTATCATTATTAATTGATGATTTGATGATCTCTTACACGTCCTCGGGAGAGTTTCAAAGATGAACCTTGTAATATTTTATTTACCGGGTACCTATACTTCTTGTTGCGGCATCCGAAATTGCAGACATAACTTGCTTCTTGCTTGGCCGCATCCACTGCATCTAGAATCTTATCTGCTCATTTGCATATAATACTATCAATTCCAAGTTATTGAAATGAAATAACTTTTTGCTCCTTACTTCAATAATTTAGTATTCTCTACAAATTTTAACAATATTAAAATAAAACGCACTTTTTATAAAAAAAAATAAAGAAATTCTACCCACAATCACTAATCAGTAATTACCATATCCTACAATGATAAATTGATCACATTGAATGCCTTCCCTTTCAGTTTTTGACTTTTTTCCTCGATCGGGCGATTCAGTAACTCAACTCAGCAGTCAGTTCGTCGTCTTCTTAAACCTTTTCCCATTTTCCTATTATTTTTTATCATTACTGTATTATTTATTACACAGTCACATGATTATTTTAATCATTTTCCTCCCTCTCTCAGTCAGTCTCACACACAGTCTGCCTGCCCACACTTTCCTATTGGCGCTCTCTCTCTCTCTCTCTCTCTCTCTCTCTCTCTCTTCCTTTCCGTTATTACCTCCATTTTTCCCCTTCCCCGTAACGGTTCTTCCTCCCTCCCTCATCCACTCCACAATCGCCGGCGGTAATGAATCCACAGTGAGATATGGGCTGCGTCTACTCTCGAGCTTGCATCGGCGAGGTCTTCACACCCAGGCTCAAGCACCACCACCGCCGCCGCCCCGTCGCTTCTCTTCCTCGTCCGCCGCCGCCGCCGGCCGAGGAGCACAGGGATGGCCTCCCCGTCTTCTCTCCCGGATCCTCATCACCGGATTCCGAGAACCGCGACGAAATCCACGGCCTCCCCGACCAGGAGCTCGGGATAACGAGGCTCTCTAGGGTTTCCTCTCAGTTCCTCCCTCCCGATGGATCCAGAACCGTCAAGGTCGGCGGATACGAGCTCAGGTACTCGTACCTGTCGCAGCGAGGATATTACCCGGACGCGTTGGATAAGGCGAATCAGGATAGCTTTTGCATCCACACACCGTTCGGAACTGGAGCGAGCGGCGGCGCCGGCGGCGATTTCGACGACGACCACTTCTTCGCCGTGTTCGACGGGCACGGCGAGTACGGGGCGCAGTGCTCGCAGTTCGTGAAGCGGAGGCTGTGCGAGAATCTGCTCCGCGGCGGGAAGCTCCGCGCAGACGCCGTCGAGGCTTGCCATTCGGCTTTCCTGGCCACGAATTCGCAGCTGCACGCCGAGACCCTGGACGACAGCATGAGCGGGACGACGGCGATTACGGTTTTGGTCCGCGGGAAGACGATTTATGTGGCCAACGCTGGCGATTCGAGGGCGGTGATAGCGGAGAAGCGAGGGAAGGAGATTGTGGCGGTGGATTTGTCGATTGATCAGACTCCGTTTCGACCGGATGAGCTCGAGCGGGTTAAGCTATGTGGAGCTAGGGTGATGACATTGGATCAGATTGAAGGGCTCAAGGATCCTGAGGTTCAGTGCTGGGGGACTGAGGAAGGTGATGATGGCGATCCCCCAAGGTTGTGGGTTCCCAATGGGATGTATCCTGGCACTGCATTTACGAGAAGTATTGGGGATTCCATTGCCGAGACGATTGGGGTTGTTGCTAATCCGGAGATTGTGGTTATGGAGCTTTCAGCTCAGCATCCTTTCTTCGTGATTGCCAGCGATGGTGTTTTTGAGTTCCTCTCAAGCCAGACTGTGGTTGACATGGTAAGGTATCTTCTGTGCCTTTGTTTAATGGGTTCCATAATTGGATTTTTCTGTTGGTTACTTGTTAATTGTCGTTATCAGACAAGTTCAATTTGGTCGTTAAACTGAAAGAGGAGCTGTATATGAAATGCTTCTAGTAGATGCAAGGAAGAAATCCTTGTTAGATTTATTAGTATGGTTAAAATTTTAAAGATGTTAGGGAAAGGGGAAACAATCTCCCCCTAAGGATTAGAGGGCAATGCATCATTCCTTTGGAATGAAAATAAACAGGTGTGTAAAATACAAAAATGGAATCGTGATTATTCTTCATAAAGTTTGGCTACCTAAGTTTTTGGGGAGGGCGCTGATCCAGCTATTGTCCTGGGTTTCTCTATTACCCGTCTGTTTTGTCTTCGGTTTTTGACTTTGTATTTTTCAATTTATGTCACCATTATCCCAAAAAAGAAGTTGAAGCCATAATGACCAATGGTGGGACGGCCAAAATGATGGTTTAATCTGTGTACTTTGTACTATCTAATGAACTCTGCATCTTTGCTCTGTTCCCTGGAGTTATGGCTACGGGTCAGACCTTTTTCATTTCTTTCTTTCCAGTAGGTTTCTCCTCAGGAAGAGATTAATAATTGCGCTTCTTGTTTTCAGGTTGCAAAATATGAGGATCCTCGAGATGCTTGTGCAGCAATTGTTGCTGAATCTTATCGCCTTTGGCTACAGTATGAAACTCGGACAGATGATATTACCATAATAGTTGTACATATTAATGGTCTAACACAGGTACGTTTGCCTATTCCTTCTGCAAGCATTTGGTTTCTCCATGATAATACTTTTAATTCTTCGTCATTCGTTATCTGAGCCCCTCTTTTTTTCGCACTTGTTTGTTATCGCCTTGTCAGAATTCTGTAGATCAATTAACAACTTCAGATGGAGCACATCCTGCTGTTCCTCATGTTGTGGAGTTGACAGGAACTGAATCTCCGTCAACCATTGGATGGAACTCTAAGAACCAACGTGTAAGGCATGACTTATCTCGAGCACGTATTCGTGCCATTGAGAGTTCACTTGAGAATGGCCAAGGATGGGTTCCTCCATCTCCAGCACACAGGAAGACTTGGGAAGAAGAAGTAATGTCGCCACAAACAATTTTGGGATTTCCATTCTTAAAAGCTCATCTTGCAGTAATCTCTACCAACGTTTCATGAGTAAGTACTTATTTGGAGCGTTCATGGTGCTTATATGATGTAGGCACAAATAGAGAGGGCATTGCGTGATCACTTCCTTTTCAGAAAGCTTACCGACTCCCAGTGTCAAGTTTTATTGGACTGCATGCAAAGAGTTGAAGTCCAACCAGGGGAGGTTGTAGTTAAGCAGGTTAGTTTTCAATCTCAAACCTGCTTTGTGTTATCTAGAATGTGAATATGGACCAGGCAGCTGAATATAAATAGGCTAAGTTTCTGTGCCATTGTATGGTTGTAGAAGATCTAGGACAACAGTCACATTGTAAAATACTTATTTTAACCACCTCATAGCTGCAAGTAGTTTAAAGTTGTTAATGTAAGTCTATTTTCAAGCTAAAAGAAAAAATCATAATGTATCTGCAGGGTGGTGAAGGTGACTGCTTCTATATCGTTGGCGATGGGGAATTTGAGGTTTTTGCTACTCAGGTTTGACATTATCCTTGAATTCGTTTTCATTCTTCATTGCATGGAGAACAGTTTAACTGACAGGAATTTTACGGCAGGAAGAGAAACATGGAGAGGTGCCTAGGGTATTACAGCACTACTCAGCTGAGAAGTTATCATCATTTGGAGAGCTAGCATTAATGTGGGTTTGATTTCCGTGGTTCTTATCCTTGCTACACTATGTCATGTTTCTAAAAAAGAAATAATTTTCTGGCTCATAAACCTGAGAGATTATCTTCCCTCGTGATTTTGCTTGTATTTGTTGTAAACTTCGCCCAATCTTGGCATGATATGAACTTAAAAGTCTAGCTTCTGGATCTTACTCACATTGGAATTTTAGGTACAATAAGCCACTTCAGGCTTCCGTTCGAGCTGTGACTAGTGGGACATTATGGGCGCTAAGAAGAGAGGATTTTCGTGGCATCCTGATGTCAGAATTTTCAAATTTAACATCCTTGAAGCTACTTCGGTCCGTGGATCTTCTTTCAAGATTGACCATCTTGCAGCTGAGTCATATTGCAGATTCTCTATCAGAAATTTCATTTTCAGATGGGCAGATTATTGTCAATGAGGTAACTCTGCTACTAACTGTGGAGCTTCTATCTAATGTCACAAAAAGTGACCGACATCCTCTATGTATTCACATTTGAGTTCTTACCATCTATATATATATATATATATATATATATTTTTTTTTTTTTTGTAGAACGAGGAACTCTCGTCTCTCTATGTCATACAGAAGGGACAAGTACAGCTTACTTTTGATGGCGACTTGCTGAATAGTTCAAATGTTCCAAGTCTGAAGTCTGACGATGTAAAAGAGGACGATGATATGCAAACTGGTAAAAAGATCTCCATGGAGAAGACAGAGGGAAACTATTTCGGGGAGTGGACACTTCTCGGTGAAGGAATTAGTGGCTTGAGAGCAGTTGCTATGGGTGATTGCATTTGTTCTGTGTTAAACAAGGATAAGTTTGATTCAGTTGTTGGCCCTCTAGCAAGACTTTCACATGAAGGGGCAAAGTAAGTGAAAGCTTGGAGCATATGTCTGTTCCGAGAGGTGTCATCTTCTCCTTAAAGAGAAAATAGTAAAGTCTAAATGGCTTATTTCTGATTCACATCATTCAGGTCAAGCGGCTCACCTTCAGATGTCGCTAAGGATTCTGCTGAAAGTACTGAAGTTCCTGCCCCTTCTGGAGTTAAACTATCAGAGCTGGTAAAGTGTGATCTTTCTTTCCATAATTATACTTTTACTGTTATGCTTCCTGACAAGAAGAGACCCAGTATTAACCCAGCCAAGTCTGGTTTTTCTGTTTAGGAGTGGAGAAGATGCTTGTATTCCAATGACTGCAGTGAGATTGGGCTTGTGCAACACAGAGACTCAGGTGAGTCTCACTGATAATCTTGATCAGAAAGAAAACAATGTATATTATTAGTTGTGAACTAATGCTTACTGATGAAAACTTCATATTATTGTTTGACTTCCAGGAAAGGTACTTAGTTTAAAAAGGTTTTCCAAGCAGAAGATCAAGCAGTTCGGAACAGAGGCACTGGTTTTGAAAGAGAAGAATCTAATGAGGAGCATGCTTCCTTCAGCATTTGTCCCTCAGATTTTATGTACTTGTGCAGATAGGGCATATGCAGGCATACTGCTGAACGCTTGCCTTGCTTGTCCTTTATCATCCATACTTGACACTCCACTCGATGAACCTTGTGCACGGTTTTGTGCTGCCTCAGTTGTAATTGCACTTGAGGATATGCACAAGGTATCTTCTTCGCGACTAACAAATTTTCAATCACCCGTCCATCAGTTGCAGGCATTTTGCTGCACGCTATATTTACCTATACATTTGCTTTGCAGGATGGTATTCTCTACAGAGGAGTGTCCCCGGATCTACTGATGCTGGATCAATCAGGATATCTGCAGCTTGTAGACTTCAGATTCGGGAAGAAGCTATCTGCTGAGAGGACATTTACAATCTGTGGGATGGCAGATTCGTTACCTCCAGAGATGATCCACGGAATGGGACATGGTTTCCCAGCTGACTGGTAAAATTAGCCTCTTCTTTTTGGGTTCTCTTGAGCTCAAATCTCGCCTCTGAAAGGCCCAAGCTTTGTTTCTCATTTAGTTTTGTGAACCAATAAATTTTCAGGTGGGCTCTAGGGGTGTTGATCTACTTCATGCTCCAGGTAGAAATGCCATTTAATTCTTGGGGAGGGAGTGAACTCGACACTTACGCAGTAGTTGCAAAGCGACAGCTCACGCTTCCCCCAACTCTAACCCCAGAAGCTGCTGATCTACTCTCAAAGGTAACTAGTTAATCATTGTCCCGGATTCTGCTTAATGAATGTAGAGAAGCTTATCAGTTCCATTAACATTCCTCTTCTTCAGTTACTTGAAGGTGACGTGAACAAGCGACTTGGCAGCCAAGGAACCAGTTCCGTCAAAGACCATCCATGGTTCAGTGGCATTGACTGGGAAGGGATAAGGAACAGGACCCTTCCCGTGCCACAAGAAATAGAGTCTCGAGTCGCACACCATACTCAAACCTGCTCTCAGGATTACGACGACCCTCCATCAGCAGCCGATTCTTCTTCACAAGATACCGAAGTTCTCAATGCTCCAGAATGGCTTGATGATTGGTGAGATTGAGAAGACAGACCAGAGAGTTAAAAAGGGTTTGATGAATGGCCTCACTGTTGCAAGGAAAGCGGTTTTTGGATCGTCACAAATGTGTTGATCCTTTGGTGGGGTGTTTTAGTGTTGTGTAGATAATATAAGTGATATGTGTAAATGTGGTGTTCAGAGGGAAAAAGATCCATTTTTACCCCCCTTTCCAGATAAAGAGAAACCTTTACCATCCCTCCTTAAAGCTTTCCACGGTTTAGTATGAAATGGGAATTTTTCACATATGTAAATTTTCCTTTTGGGGGGTCGGTTCAATCCGCAATGTCTTTCTGTAGACCTTGTAATTCTTTTGATTGTGAAATAGATAATCTGAGGCATGTAAGAGAATTTGCTACTTGTTACTTCATTATGCTTATCGGGTTTGCCCGTTGATTGATTATATATCGGACATATATTTGATCGTGGTAATAAATGTTTTCCATTTCAACCATTAAATTTGTAAATTACTTGAAAAACTAGTGTTGAATCATACGAAATTTCTAAATTTTTTCGGATTCGAGATTAAGATTTTACGAGTAAACTTAGGGGTGGCAGTCCGGCTTTTTCGGTTTTAACCGATAACCGATCGGCAGGTTATCGGTTAACCGAAATAACCACTCTCCCTACTGAAAATCGCCCGAAATAGGCTTTGGTTTCTTGGTTATCTCGGTTATCGGTTAACCGAACCACTTTTAAGGCCAAAAACCATTTCGTCCAGCCTCCGATAATCGACCGAAGTTCGATTACTTCGGTTACCGATTGGTGGATAACCGGCCAGTTAACCGATAACTGGTAACCGAACTGCCACTCCTAAGTAAATTATTATAAGTCAGATTATTGATTTTAACATCATTACTAATAGCACTGTTAGTTGATTCGGTTACTAATTGATTACCCCATTTTCTAATAATTAATCAATTTGTGTTTATCACACCGTTTATGTTACTTGGTTAACAGGTTATCGGCTAATATATTTTGTTAACCGGCTAGCTAGTGATTCAGAATGGTTAGTCTGGAAAAATCAGAATGGCTAAACCTCGCCCTAATTAATTTAATCGCCCTAACTTAAAACTGCAAAATTACTTAATTAACCTTAAAGAACTGAATACAAAATTAATAAAAACAAACAGCCCCTATGGGCCCTATCTCCTTCCTCGCATCAATACAACTCCCAGCCAACTTACCGGCCGGACAGCGATTTCTATTTGCCGCCGTCGGCAAAGTAATCATAGATCCCATGTCTTTCTTGGGAATTTTTTTTGTTGTTTCTGGTTTTCTTTTTCCGGTGCTGTACTGTTGTTTAGCGAAAGTGGAAGAGTGGACTTTGAAGGGGTTAAGTGGGAAGGCTGGAAGGAGAGAGGGGGGAAGGGTTATGCTCGCATCCCTCGATTTTCCTCAGGTAAGCATACGCCAGCTTGGCTGGTTGTCATCACTCGCTCGGATCGGAGAACCCTACCTCTCCACCTTCTTGCCGTCGCCGCCTCGTCCAGCCTCGGATGACTCGCTTGCTTACTCTCGGTCTCCGGCGGTAGTACTCCCCCGCGACGACGGCAACGGGAAACGGCAGGGTAATATCTCCAACGGCCAATTAGTTTTTATGCGTTGTTTGTTAAAATTAAACTAGTTTTTAATAATAAACAAAGAAGAGGATAAAAAAGTAATTGTCTAGGGCGATTAAAGTAAAACACAGGGCGATAATTAGCAACCCCCGGAAAAATTGGTTAATTATTTGTTATTTTTTTTGAAAATCCGTTGATTGAAAACCTACACTCTACCACCACCACCACATCTTACGCGCAAAAGTAGAAGATGAGCTCGATTTTGACTCTGCAGTTCAAACTTTTCATAGTCGGACATCAAGTTCATCGAAGATTTATGGCTTAATCTCAAACTAATGGAGGACAACGAAGACAAGGTCAAATTTAGAGTCAATCAACTAATGTTGTTGTATACTAACAAGAAGAAAAAGTGGTGACAAAATGCGATAGATCCTTACTTAGCAAGGCGGTGAGTGGAGGAGGAACTGGCCTGGGTGTAAAGTCGAGCTAGGGGATTTGGCCAGCGAGGTCGATGATGAAGGTTGTGGTGCCAGGACAGGAGGGGTTCCATTGTGGAGGTGAGTTAAGATTTGGTTAGTGGCGCGAACTTTGTAGAACGGTAGGATTAATGCTTTGGGCTTAGCATGTTGTTCCTGTTGGAACCGAGAGAAGAAAGCAAAGAGAAGAATGAGATGAGTGTGAACTGGGTGAGGGAGCTAGTAATGGAAGAAACTAATACTATGTCTTTGCAATCTTTCCTCCAGCAGCAACAATCTATTCTTCCCGAACCAATCTTGATGCCTACATTGCAATCGTAGAGTTAGCGATACTTTTTGCTTCTTCAATTTTAGGGTTCACGGCAGGAGAAAATTGGGGAAAGACGAAGATGGTTGGGTCACGTCGGAGATTGTTTGGTTAAAGTTCGAGATTCTGTTTGGGAGGGACGTGACCGTTTTTGGAAAAGAGAAACATAGATACTTATACTCGGTTATTCTTCGGTTAACCAATTAACCAACTGTTCAGTTATTACTTACATTAAAAGTCATTTCAGCCTACTAGTAATCGGGCCACTAACGTACAATCAATTAACTATTTAACCGCTACCCATCGATTACTGGTTACTGTAATAATGGTTTAACTGCCAATCAACGAATATATATCACCTTAATTAGGTATTACGTCAACTCAAGCTTGGAATGGTGAAGGTTCTATTGGAGGCCCCATTCTTCGAGATTGTCGTTGTCTTCTTGGTTCCTTCTCTCATTGTATAGATTTTAGGGCGGTTCCGCGGATTGTCAACTAGGCTGCTCATAGAGTGGCACGTAAAGCCCTGCTGCTGTCCCGGCTAGAGCTAGCTTCTTTTGATTTTGTAGGTTGGCTAGTTAGTGGGGTGGGAAGGGATTGTGGGTAGTCAGTGGCGGACCCAGAATTTTGGGATAGGTGTGTCGGTCAATAAAATAAAATTAAAATAAAATTAATTAAAAAATTAATTTAAATAAACAAACAAGTTTATTTATAAATTTCACCAATTTCACTATTTTTTACAATGAACCACGATGAGTTTTCATATTATGAAAGATTTCTTAATTACATTTTTCCATTAGGTTGAAAATCAAATGTTTTTTATGTACAGAATTAAACAATTATTCATAAACTGGTCACTCAACTTATACCAAAGATTGTTCTAGATTAAACTCATATATGGAAAATATCATTTTGTAGCTTGTAGATGCAAGAGGTAAAATCACTACTAATTTAAGATGAGAAATTTGGTATGAGAAGCTCGAAGGGTGGCCACATGTGTCAACGTGGAAATTTGAATGAGCACGAGGATGTTGTTGGCTCGACGCCTATAATTGAAGGGTGGCCACAGGTGTCAACGTGGAATGAAATAATTAAACTAGAAAGCAAGTTGAAAATTAACTTGAAGAAAAATCTATGGAAGAAGCTATGGGGAAAGATAGTATGGACTTCACTATCTAATTATTTTACTCAATCTGCTTATTAATCAATTTAATTCTCATTCAAATTATCGATGTTGTCTCTAAGATGATAGCTATCTTTTTAAATACTCACTACGTACTAAGTAGTCAATTAGTTGTTTACTCTTGTGCAACCCAACTAATTAACTACCATATCTGAAGTCCGATAACTCCAATAGTTACATATATTAATAACATTATGACAATAATTTTTTTTAATGTAATAAGGTGTGTCGGATACAATTATTGGAGGTGTGTCGGAGGTCTCATATTCAAATTTTTTACACTGAAAAATTGTGGGTTCTTCACAAAAATTTCGAACCAACCGACACACCTTGCTCAAAGGTGGTCCGCCCCTATGGGTAGTGGTTCTTTTTCACTATTTTCTTGATATTCCTCAGGCAAAAAAAAAAAAAAAAAACGTATTTATTTCTTAATTTTTTTAGATATTTTTTTTGGTAATTTTTTTGTTGATATTTTTGAAATGTCATTTTTCATTTGATTAGACACTCTTTTCCGGCTTGGATACGGTCAGTAACCAAATGGTTACTGACCTATTAGAACTAAATCGGGACCTTTTAGATCTAAGTGGGCCCAGAAAATCCAGATATGGGGGTTGCGAATTAAAAATATTATATTTTCCATAGTTTTCTTAATCGGCTCTTATCTCTTCGTTCTAACTCGGATTTCAATTTTTTTGCACATGGAACGATTTCAATTTTCAATATATTTCGAGAAAATTTTTTCATACCTCCTGTTACCAACTACATACCATATGGTAACTTCTTCGTTTTTAAGTCGTTTTTGAAAAAGTTTGCTCAGAAAGAACAAGTTCATCATGATCTGTTGGAACTACAAATTTCTGGGTGAAAAAAATACATGACCAAAAATTACCATACTTTACCACTATGATATGTGGGTGGTAACTTGTAGTAAACAATTATAAAAGTCGTGAATGACAGTTAGTATACTTCTACTATCATGTATTCAACCTTCCTATGTCAGAAACAAAGTTTCTAACGGATTTCTAGATCAGATTTAGAGATTGAGAACTTAGGGTTTATAAAATAGAATTGGGGATTTAAGGATTTGAGGAGAATATGGGGAAGAATAGAAGAGAATTGGCCTAGGCCTTTAGAGGGATTGAGGTCAAGAATTGAGAGGATATGGAGAGGGATTAAGGAGATAATTCTTTTATTAACTTCTGCTTAATCCGATGAAAGACCCAAAGTACATATATATAGGAAAATACTAGGAAACCCTAACAATAAACCTAATCCTACTAGAAGACTACTAACCATAATAAGAATTACCCTAGTAGTAGTAATAATAATAAATATAGAAACCCGAGATAAATCGGTTTCTAACACCTCCTCCCCCTTCAGACCAACCTTGCCCTCAAGGTTGACCGCCTTGACCCACTTTTCCTTCCCTCCCACATAATGCGTACGCTGACTCCCCCATTTCTTGCGCTTTCGTTTCTTCCAATCATGCTCCACTCTTCGACTTGGCCTTCTTGCTTCTCCACATGCTTGTTGCTCAAATTCTTCTGAAAGCCCATCAGCTAAACCCCTAACCCATCCACTTTGTCTTCTAATTACACCCCACATAAAGGGCTCCAGGTGGCCCAATGTTCTCAAAAAGGATAAGGCCCACGTCTGTTAATTAAACTCACTACCAGCTTTGTGTTGGGCTCGCTACACAGTCCCTGTTCGGCCCGCTTTTCTCTCATATTTGGCCCAACTCCATATATGAGCTCTGTAACCAGAAAACTTAATTGAAATTCAAATATTTGCTGCTTTTGAGGCCCATAGCCTCTTGGACCCATTCATAGTCTTTCTTTCTCGGCCCGAGAGTTGGCCCATAAAAAACCCTAACGGGCTCATGATATGATCCTAATTCGAGAATCCACCCAAACTTGAACCAAAAATCAGAA